ATTACCAGTAAATGCCTCGATTTAGGATTTAATTTCTCGCTTATGAGAATAGTAATAAAGTCAATTTAAATCTACTTACAGGATATCGATAGTCACGCTGCTGTTGATAAAATTGTGACGTTTAAGTTTTCGTATTCTAGCGTTGGATAGTCCCCTAATTTTATATTGCACCATCACATTCCTGATCATTATTAAATTGCATTTATAATTAATCATTTAATAATATTTACAAAGTTTTTAAGGCTATTCCTTCCGGCAAATTCAATTCATAGATACTCTGTAATGGATTACCATCAAGTTGTCTGCAATAAAAAAACAATTATATGCAGTCTTATGTTCTTTGTTTACAAGAGGATATTAATCTTATTCAAGGCCTGATTTCAAATTTTACATTTAAAATCTAATAGCAAAGAGCCTCGTTTGCATCTTTTTGGCATTTAATGAGACAATTTTGCAAGCAGCTAGCAATATTAGGGTTTAGTGTCAATATGATCGAAACTCTGATTTATAGTTATAATGGTAAATTTTCTGTCTGCGTTTTCAGATACAAAGTTAGCTGAGCTCCTCTATTATGTAGCATTTTATTCTCTGTCAACTTTATAGCTTTTGTAATTCTACTACGAGTAGTGATTGCAGGCATTAATGGATTCATTTAGAGTTTCACTGAATTTATAGCAATGGCATTAGACTACTATATAATAGTTATCGTAAGAGGAAAATGGACATTATTGGATCTCTAGGTTAGGAAATTTATCTGCCTTTTTTCGTATGTGAGCGATTCATATAAGGCAGTTTGGTTATTTTTTTACTCTGAAATACTTTAAATCATAGACGCTAACGATACTTTTGTGGACGGAATATTGCTTCTTTCATTAGAATCTTCCTATTTTGATACACTCACAAGGATTTTAACTGATTCAATCCTGAAAAAGCTTTGGATTTGATGGTAGCAATTTTATTGGTAGCGAGCGATCTGAATATGGAAAAAAATCTTATTCAATATTGCCATTCTTGCTGTCAAGCTTGCACTTATTTTTAAGCTCCAATTAAGAATTAACTCAGAAAACGTATATTTACAGAGTTTGAAGTATTCTTAAATTTTTTAAGATGTAGTTGTGGACAATTTCGATTTCATTTTCATCTAAAATGCTAAAGAATAACAAAAGTGGAAGTTTATACTAAAAATATCAATTTGAACATTTGAGTAAAGAAAATATAGGGGAATTAATCCATACTGCTTACAGGAACATCAACGATGTTAAGTTCTGGAACGGATTAAAATTAGTTATGTTGTTATCCGTTAAATCTCTGTGCATGTAAATTGAAAAGGTTAAAAGCCTGAAGATAAATGCTATCATACCTGGATTCTAATTTATTTAAACTAGTTCAATCGCCCGTGAACTTACAAGGTCTGTAAGGATTTGAGTTCATGAAAGGCATTAGTACTGATATCAGTAAGCTTGTTGGACTGCAAATATCTAAATCAAATTGTTGGATAAACTCAAAACCGTTATCTAGTGTCTAATATAATACTATATAACCTATATAACACGGCAATCATCGCTTGGTAGAATGAAATTGTACTAGTGTATATGCAAGGTAAGAATCTAAATTAGATTAAAATATAGCAATAACACAATGATTTATCACACTCTCATCGTAGTATAAATCGATATCAATTAAGAATATCGGTATTTATTTTTTAGCCATCTATTAATGCTATACTGTACGTTGGAAAAAATTTACATTGATACTTACAAAGAACGCAATCTAGTAGTGCCGTTGAAGGACTCAGATTGAATGGCTGTGATAGAATTCAGATCGAGCTTACTAAATAGAATGTAATATGTATAGCTAGGATTTACGCTGCATAGATATAAGCGTAAGTTTTAATACATAGCAGAAATATTATCTTCTTATAAGCTACTGTACTACATAGTTAATGATAGCAAAGTAGAAACATAATCTAAATCATGAAGACAAGTTTATATTGTTAATGTTGTAGACTTGCAGGATGATTAATATTTTTAGTGCAGTGAGAATCTAAACTATGGTTGATTGCATCTAGGTGTTTTTATGTCCTACTCCATAGACTGGTCGTAGATAGAATTTATAACTAGATGAGATTGCATGCTTAGATGATACAGATGATTTTAAATATCCATTCTAATGTTTGGTTCAAAAGATTTCAAACTAGATGCTGACAGGGATTGAAGGCTTTTCAGATCTGCAAACATTCCGCTTGATATTTCGGTTAAGTAGTTTTGCGTTAGGAAACTAATTAAGACAAAAAGAAAGAGGTCAATTATAAAATGATGAAAGAAGGACTATCAATATCTAGTTTCTAGAACTATTAAAAGGTAGTCTAAATGATCGATAAATTAGAATTATCTAATTAGAAATGATACAAACAGTTTACGCAAATTTAGAGCTTGAGAAAACGAATTGGAAGCAATATAGTCGATTCTGTTATAGCTGAGGTCACTAAGAGTCATTAAAAAAATGATATTATAATGAAGTTAACAATTTATTACGATTATATACGATATTAGGCGTATATGTGTCCTAAAAGCAAGGGAATATGTGTTCTCATCGTTTAAATTGATAGCTAAGGCAATAGATTTACCAGTAAAGTCTATCATTTTGGTTATATTATAGATGGAGAAATTAAACATGCCCATATTATAACTGGCAACATAACGTCAAGATCTAACAACTTAGATGCTTCATGGGATGAATTCTTTATAAATAAATACAAATAAAAATTAAATACTACGATATACTAAATAGTAAAAACTCTATTTCTATTTATAAAGGAAGCCTTTGTACCAGTATTGTGTTAAACTTTGAATTTAATCGACCTATACTATGTGAAGGTATAGGAAATTACTTCGTAATTATTTCTAGATTAGTGAATTCTATCGCAATTATATCTAAATCTATTTTCAGTGAAATAAATAGCTACAATTTTAAAATAAAATTGTGAACCTATTCCCGTAACTGAAGCATAGGGTACAGTTCTTAATCATAAGTATTGCATTTAATATAACGAAAATGAACGTGTTGTATGACTCTGTTTTCGAAGATAGAAATAATTTAGTATCGAAATAATATTATGGATTCGTTTTACTTAGAACAGGCAAAAGAAAATCTATGGTGTTAAGGCTGAAGACGTAAAAATTAGGAAGTAACGGTTGTAGAGGAATGCTTATATAGGCTTTAAATTGTATACGAATTCAGCTGCATAAACTGTTTAACTAAATAAGATAGCTATACAGCTCTCTGAAACAACTTACAGTGTTTTAAGATTGGTTAAACAGGACATAGCGCCGTGATTGATATTTGTTAAATTATTTCTTTTCAATTCGCTATTTAATACAAAGTACAATTAAAGTCATTGGGAGAAAATTGTAAAATTCGAGCAGAGATTTAAATCCTGAATTCATTAGAAACATTATAGTAGTACGAAGTCTTATAATTTGGATAAAACGGGTAGAATACGAAACGGAATTTCAAATAAATACAGATATTGTAGGTTGGGAAGGCTGCAAAACGATCTTGACTCGATGTCCGCAATGTTGTTGATATTTAAATCTCTAATAAAGATATAGTTATCGGAAGATATTTGTCAATTATATCCGTGTTATAGTCTATAAAATAAATTAGTTTGCGCTGCGCAGAATAAATGAATATTTAGTAAATGCACAAGAAATATATCCAAGTTTGCTTTTTAGATATAGCTTGGAAAGGTACAACTTTTACTTACAGGGTAATGACTTTGGCTAAACAAGTAAGACTTTTCCTTGCTATATAATTTAAGTTATTTCCATTTAAAGATCTACATAATAATAAGTCAGTAAAGGATAAGGCTGTGTTTCATTCCATCGAAAATTGAGCTTGCTTTATTCTATCCAAATATTAGTTATATAATACAAATTTAAAACGGAAATTCGACTATCTATTGATAACTCTTACGGTTATAAAAAATTTCAAGTTTTATAGGATGCCTTCTCGATAGTTTCAAATATTATTTTAATATTTAGCAACCAATATGCTGCTGCGAAATACTAACATTGTTTTAACATTTGGTATTCCACAAAATGCTCCTGATTCTATACGTCTGATATGATTATGATTTAAATCCCTATTGAACATAAAAATGACGAATTGATCCAAATTTATGAAAAATTGAAATAGATGGTAAGATATAAATGCCATAATTTTTAAGATAATAGCAAGGAATACAGAATGTAAGATACGTCGTAAGGTACTACTTTTTTCTTAATACATTGATTCGGATCATTTATATGATTTCACACGAGAAATTTGGTAACATAATATTATAAATTACTCATTGCAAAATGTGATAATTATGAGTTTTATGGACATAAGGCAATAACATATGAAAAAGTTTTATGTCAAGATCTGAATATTTTGATCTATCATCGGTGTATTAATTTGTAGCACTGATAAAATACTACATTTGTAAGTAAAAATTTAAACACTAGATTAAATACAACACTTTGTCAAACCATTAATTTATAATAGCTCTATGAACTGTTGCATGGTATATAAAATGCAAAATAGAAATTTTTTATGATTCATCAATGTAGCAGTTGGTATCGTTTTAGAATGTACATATTCTAGCATGAAGTAAAGTTAGGATTTTAGCTGGGATTATAATATTGAATCATTTATTAATACATTCGTAACACATTAATTTAAAGAACAGAAGTGCATAACATTCATGTTGCATTATTGTAAGTGAAAAAAGAGAAGCTCAACATACAGTATTTTTAATGTTGGAATACCAGCAAAGTCGCTTGCACGGATCGTCAGTAAAAAATTTTCACTTAAATCTCTAATATGGTCCATATAGTTAGATAAGAGGACAATATACGGTATAAAATATACAGAATAGGCTTTCCAACGTAAATGTTTAAATGATTGATAAATAAGCCAGATAGTAAGAGAATTACAAATATCAGTGATGTACATACAAGGAATATAAATTGTCAAGGCCTTTAAAAGCATTCGGCTGTATGTGACTGATGCTATTCAGAGGTAAATTCCTAAGCAGATTGAAGTCAGAATTGTAAGAATATCGCAATCCATATCGTATTATTGACTTCACAAAAGAATGATTTTTATTTTTTCAGCTCTAGTTTTCACTTAAGTGACTTTTAGACTATATTTCATCTCACCATGTGTCACGGTAGTGAATCTACCGTGATGAATGATATCTTACTTAATTTAGACATGTATATGTATCACGTTAAGATAGTTATTAATTTGGATATGTGCATGAATTACTTTATGACTTAATATAGCCGATACCAACCTGTTCCTAATACAGGTTAAATTATACTAAATATAGTATATGAATTGTCAATGGTAAATTCAATATAAATCCTCTTAATTACAAGCTAGAGAAAAAATAAAGTTAATCTATAGCAATATTACAAATTCATTGGATTAGACTAGGAATAACTTAATGTATTCACGAAGTCTTATTAGTAGAAATATATCACACATCATAAACCAGTTTAATGGCTAGAAAAGCTATTTAAATGATTGATTTTGAATATTAAATTAGACTTGCATTTTCTAGAATAAAGATATAGTTAGAAGATTCCGAAAGTGCATTTCTCAGTTATTGTTGCTTATTTAGGGTAATCTAATTAGTTTAGATTAGGCAAGTTTAGTTAAATAACACCATGGTAAACTCTTACGTGATATAGTGCAAAGTACATACAAATTCCTTAGATTCTTTAAGCAATTTAGCGTTTCGTTTTGAATCATTTTCATAGCGTTTCCTTCCAAAAATCTAGATAAATAAACATTAGCAACCTCTAAATGCCATAGTTAACAATAGAATTACAATTTATCATCTAACAAGGTAATCAAAATCTCGCTAAAAATATTAAAATCTTTTTATATCAGTTCATTACAAGTTTTGTAGAGCAGTTAGATTGCAGAGGGTCCTCGGATTGATCTTTGTTAAAAAGTTGTTACCCAAATATCTATTTCAAGTTAAAAATTGATGGTTGTTAAGGTTGTCTGATCGTAAAATACTATGCTTATTTTATTTTAGATTGCTAATATGAAATAGGTATAGAATTATTCCTTATGATTTTGAAATAAAAACTGAATTAAAGTTAAGATAAGTTAAGATACTGAATTAAAGTTAAGATACTAATACTAATAGTAATTTTAAAATTGATCTAGCAATATCATTGATCTTGCCATTCTATGTTTAACATTATCCGATAATTTTTAATGCATAGAAAACTTACAAGCTCTTCAAATTAGGATTTAAGTCAAAATAATTCCTGTCTACTTCGATCAAATGATTCTCAGAGAGGCCCCTATAAGCATATTATTAGTTTTGTAAAGTCAACAAATATTAATCGCTCAGTGCATAGATGAAAATAAAATACATTGATAATAAGTTCTTCTATTTTAATGAATTAATTTCAATTCAACAGGTATTCATACTATATCTTACAATGTTATTAATGAGTTTAAATGCCGAAAGGAAATCGTGGCTACATAAGCGATAAGGTTGTACGCTAGATCTCTGGAAGAAATCGGCTATTTCGTTAGTGTTGGAATACATCATAATGACATTGATTATGTATATAAAATGCTAATATCTTTATAAGTTGATAATTTAAGGCAGAAATCTGTAGAGATTGATGCCAGACTTGGACTAAATTCTCAGTTAATAGCTAAAAATTGGAGAAGTTTCCTAATCTATAGTTTAACCTACAAGCACCAGTTATGATCATCTTAGCCTAATGATTATTAAATTAGAATAAAGTGCTAATAATATAATTGCTTTCCCGTGGCGTACAAATATTTCAGTTTGGTTAAACAGTTAAAAGTATTTTGGCGTATTTCCTTTATTTGGTTGCCAAACAGCACCCTAAAGGAATATTGATGGGAAGAAAGTTAGTACCCAATCTTTAACTATGATTAAAATGTCGTAATATTTCTATGCCAAACACGTACAACAATTCAAGACTATTTAAGCCACTAAATAGTGCATCCGGGATGGTTTTAATGGAATTAAAGCCAAGACGTCTATGAAGTTTATTAATGGAAAACAAGAATATAGATGTTAATGTTGATATAATTTCTACACATAAACCGCATATCTCAAGATATAAATAAGCATTAGTTGCGCTGGTAAGTTGAAGTAGAACTATAGCACTGTATTGATCAGATATGCAAATATAATATTAGTTAACAAAACGATGTGATCATGGAAAGCAGCCATGTTTATATAAGCATTTTTTCTTAGTGTGCAAATAACATAAAGAACTCTTTTGATGCAAAATGGAATTGAAAATATAAGTTGTAATTGAAGGTATTACTGCTAGAAGCTGAGTATATTTCTAAATGTAAACACACAAGCCCATTATTTACTGCATCGTTAAATCAAAATGGCTCTGTTAATCCAATAGCGAAATGAAACTTCAGCTTGTAAGCTAGCAGAATTAATTATGAAGAGAATCTCAAGCATTCATTTATAGCGTAAATAAAGGTAAATAGCTTCGTATAGGCGACATTGAAATCAGAATTCGACTTGTAAATGCATAGATAGTAACAGAATTGACTAGAAAGAGATACTTAAGCATCCATTTGTAGTAAAGGACTAAAAGCAGAATTCTTTATAGCTTTTAGTATGTAACTATTATTACTTTACTATAGAAAATAGCTAGAAAGTGATAGTATCATTAAGTTTTACCCTGCCAAATCAGAGAAAGGGGATTTATAACGTGACAGTAAAGTAGTGTAATGTAGGTTATAATCGTATAGTTACTGTACAACTTCATGATAAAACATCAACTGTCGATTTCCTAATGTCAGAAAAGTAATCATAGTTGTTATTTAAAATTTGTTAATAATCAGAAAATTTAGAGGAGAGAGTAAAAGAAGATTCTATTGAAGAACTTGTTGAATTTTAAAGTCCTTCAGGGTCGAATTATTGTAAGTGAAAACGTTCTTCTTTTTGTTAGGTTGTTTGCTGACAGCTTCAGTTCTGTGATTTTTTTATTTCTTCATTTTTAATGCTTAGAATTAAGTATTTGAAAGGTTGTTTGAGCTATCTCTCTAACATTTTTTTCTTAATAAATTGTTGTTCGGTTATTTCCCCCAATTTTTTTTGATGTCAAAGTTTCGTTACGTCAACCAGAGTGCCACGAAAGTAGAATTAAAGTTTGTTAAAAGTTGTGTAGCTTGATCTCTACATTTTATATTTCATCATATATTTGGTGTATAATTAAATGTAAATAGCTCCTGTAATGTAACTAGTATTGTGATTGTAGACTGTTAGCCATATTTAGTATAATATGCGGTAGATGTTTATCCTAAGAGATATTTGGTAGCTATAACTATAGACTGTAGTGGTAGAGACTCTATGCTAGAGTACACATGACTATATACAGTAAGGTGTTGAGTTACTAATAAGGCTATAGGTAAAAATAGAACTGTAAATCATGTATTAGGATATGGTTAATTCATTGTACTTTGGCTGGTGTGAATAATGTCTACGTAAGTACTGTAGTCGTATCCATATTGGATTAATGATGGTCCGCAGTAGAATAGTCTTACTAAGAATAATTTAACAATGTGTAAAATAAGGTAAAAGGTTGACATGCGGATTGTAGCTGCGAATGCTACGAAAAGTATAAAATCATACAACTTTAGATTGTTCTGTTAGTTCGTTGTAGAAGTCTTTAGTAGTAGTATTCTGCTAGAGTAGAGCTGTGATTAGTTAATCTTTGTATAAGATTGAATAAAGCCCTTATTTTTCTAAAATTTGGAATTTCGTGATTGGTATATATCACAGCTCCGAGATAAACATGAATGGCTTTGCTAATACCAATTGAATTCGAATACAACGATAGATAGATTGCTACAATATGTGATTGCTCTAATTTGAGTAATTATTTAGAAATAATGGTAAAAGCATTTATGATGAGTCAGATGAAGGTTATGAACCCGTTGAAGGAAATAAAAAAACATATTAGACAGCTTTGGCAACTAGATTGCTACGGCAATCATTTATATTAATAAATTCTATTCTACAAGCAAAATCCACCTATAACGGGAATTGTATGTATCAAACAAGTAATAAATAATATTATCTATTATACAAATTAAATTTAGATTTAGCTTACAAGAAACGTAAGTTAACCAAACAAGCCAAGCTACTTTTGTTTAAATTTTGTAGAAAATTGTATGTTAGAGTCCTGGATGATATTTTTAAATGCGGGTATATAAAATAGGTTAAAGGAGAAAAAAACAGATAATTAACTTTGCGTTAAGTTTTAAATTATCAAAGAACTACAGACCGAATAAGATAAAATTATATAACTTACAAGCTGTAGATTTTTGTAGCATTACAAAAAGAGTTTGGTTCAATCCGTGAGATTGTGTTTCTTTCGAATTTACTGCGTTTAGCGTAGCCATTAGTATTAACAAGATATTGTAATAGAAATTTCAATGCAATAATGAATTTTCTATTTATGGTTGGGTCATAATGCAAATAATTTTTGTTATCTTAGCACAATATGCTTACAGAACTCTGATATTAGGGTACATGGTGAAATTTTCTGCCGCTATAGCCGTTAGATCGGAATTGGTTATAGATCTTGAAGATGAGAAGATGAAATTATAATTCTCAGTTACAGGAACACTCTGAGACCCAATCATTATCAAGTATTGTTTTAGTCTATGGCTAAATAATTCTGCTCCAGTTCAGATCTTATAAACTTGATGCATAACGAAATACCGTACATCGATTTTAATAAAACTTACATTGCCAAAATTGCTGTTGCTGTTGTATTTCTTGAGGGAATGGTTTTCATACTCCCATATTTACAATTGATAATAGTATTGGAGCAGGTACAGAGCTTTGGACAAAGGCTAGAATAAGCTTAATATAAAATTACGATAAATTTATTAAAATCTTCTTACAAGGTTGCATATTATTGTCATAAATAGGCTGTATCTAAAGCCTTTTTGAAATCATAAAATTCAAAGTTTAGATACTTCGAGTTTAATATTTTACTGTTACTTATTCAATTTACCCTCTGGTATATCAGCTAATGCAATGACCACAGCAATAAAAATAATCTTCATAATCTTAATCAAGTTTCTTTGACTGTAAAATTAAAATTATATTTGATTGAAAAGCTTTCCACGTTCACTTGATCCTCATATTGATGAGCTATATCATATTGAGACTAACTGTATTTCACAAATAAGATCAGACTTTTAGAATTAATTAGAAAAACTGGAGTAATGTAATAATCCTTCAGCCCCCATATTTAATCCGTATATAATCTCCTAGTCGTATTGATATATAAAAAATGAATCCTCTTCTATGCTAACTTACGCCATTAGATAGCCTAAAAGTGGAAATTGGTTCTTCTAGCTTATAGCATTCGCCAGTTGTTGTATAATGTTAGCTGCAGTGATTCTCTCAGGATAATTACAGATATACTTTCTTTTTATCAATTTGACATTATGTTAATGAATATCCAAATTCACTTATGCTCATAAAAGTGCTAAAATATGCTAAAAATACATGACCTTTAGCCCTTTATTATTATTATACCCAAAATCTTGAAATAGAGGATGGCATGGAAGAACTATAACCACTGTTTATTGTTGTTGTCTGGATTATTCGGCTATAATTATTTATGAATTCAATAAGTTTCTTTGTATCTGTAAAGTAATCATTTTAATTTACCCTACATATATTTCTAGTCAGACAAAGTCGAGTCTATTTGTCTTTACTTCCAATTCTAATTAAAATAGATTTCAAAATAGAACCCGATGAAGCAGACTTGAATTCGCTTCTAGTGAAATAATTCTCTATAGGACAATAAATAATTTTCAGCCTATGTGAATTAACGAATATCTTGAATCAATATTACCTATTTTATCATGTTTAATCCAGAGTCTAGTCCATTTTATTTTTTCCTAATCTGTTTGTATTACGTAATGCATTCGATCTGATATTAACTATAACTTAACTGAGCTAAACATAAGTTTCTTGATCTTCAAATTACAATCCTACGCGTAATCACTTATGTCTATGGCTATTCAATGATTTCTTTATTACATATTGTTTATCCATAGAATTTAAATTAGATATAGTCTAGTCCATTCTATCCTGATTTTAATTTGAATTCAAATTATTCGATAGTGCGTATTAATTTCATCTCTACAATTGTTTACGGAATAAGGTAGCTGATATTAGAAAAGTAAATAAATCAAGGTTGATTGTACAGAAGCAAGTAACATCGTCATGTAATGTAAACCTTATAAAGTCATTTTAAGCTTAAGGCAGAAGTAATTATGAGGACTTTTTTATTTTTCATAATGATTATAAAAGGAAATAACAGATTTGCTTATGGAAGCACGATCAACTTAATTTATTCATAATTAATCGAATGACGTTAAATTAATAAATTAGATATAAAATTTCAAAGGCAAGAAGATCATATTTATTGCCTAGACAATAGGCTTGAAAATAGGCTTTTAAATTCCAAAATATTGCCTTCTAAGATTGAAATCTACTCGCGTCGTTATCAGCATGATTTCTAAATTAAATCTTTTAATGGTAGGAGCATTGATCTTGCATATACTGCTGTGGCTATAATTATTGGCGTGATCACAAATCTATAAACTGTATGTATTACAATAGTAATAAGGTGTTACAAATAAAAATTTGTAACTTAAAAAGTAGAACTGTTAATTATAGAAGTAACACTACCCGCTTGCTATTAGGTTGGTCCTACTTGGCATTTGACAACAACACGGCTCTAAATCCTGATGATAGAAGGTCTTTGGGAGCTACAGTAACATCATTAGTCTCTTTAGACAAACTGAACCCAAACTTTATTGAAAAAGGTAATCAACTTATAGTAAATCTATGTAAACATTATTAATGCGTTTATTGACATAATTTTGTAACTATGCACTTACCTATTAAAAGAACAGATAACGTCATAGATAATGTTATGTTATCTGACGTAAATAAGATAACTTTTTTGTCAGAAAAATCACCTCGTAACATAAGGAAATCTATTATAAGTCTTTGTAAATTTTAGATACTTTACTGTGATAGTGTCTTATCATTAATCTAGTAAGATTTTGATTACCTATTTAACGTTATTTCAGTGTATTCGTAAATCAGTTTTTACGAATAGATTCTTGCGTAATCTTACCACTGAAGTCGCAATTATGATCTATTTTAGGGTTGTTTTGTATCCCGTAAGTTAAATGTCTAATATCCTCGACATCTATTCTAATGTATTACTCATTTGAATCCTTAATAATACGTCATAAAAAAATAAGAAAATTTGACTTTATCTAATTAAAAATATTATCAGAAAACAGAATAAAAATGTTTAATGAAAAATCCAGAAAGCAAATCGCCTTTCAATTCTTCAATAGGAATGCCATGAACTGTTTACTGTTAGAATTGTTGCTCTTATTTTTTCCTTTTTAAATTCTCCAACGAAAATTCCATTACTGCTTACCGCTCAAAATTAATGCTCTCATATTTCCTTTAGTTTCAACTAGCCATGATATCAGTAACAAGTCAGTCCAATAATTTTGTATCCTTAAGGTAACTTTAGCACGGTCGTTACAAGTTCATTGAAGGCTTCTCTCAGTAAGTACTTCCTAATCCTATATTTCAGTATGATAAATACAAAACACAATAGGAGACGGGGAAATTCCGCACCTGGAAATCGTGCCATATAGTATACCGTAGCTAGACTAGATTGTACGTAGTTTGAGACTATAGATGTATCTATAACTGGATATTTTGGCGAAATAAAGTAATGAGTAGTTGCAGATTGAAGCCTTGACTCTAAGTTTGATCTTACTATAAATTAGGCATTGTCCTACAGTTAAGGTGGTCGAATGGAATTCATCTAGATTAATATTTTAAGATGCTAATATCGATAGAGCGATATGTAGTAATGAAGAAATTACCCTCTCACTCATATTGTGCTAGTCTACTGAGACTGATCTTAGTCTGTAGCTGGCTGAAACCGATAGTATTTCACCAGCATGATTCATGATATATCTTCGGCAACTCGAACAGATGCAGTATGGAATTTGAGGCCTAATTGTAAGTATCTAATTTTGATAGAAATTTAAACCTAAATTTATTAACGTGTATCGCTTTCAGCTCTTTCGATCGGTATATGTAGTAAAAAAGTTAAACATGAAACATTGGCTATTTGTTGCAGGTTTTTTATTAAAGTTTATAAGTGTGTTGAAATTAGCTTTAGGAATAGAAAGAAAAGAGAACAGGAGAGCATGTAAATTGGAGTATTGTTTTTATATGCGCTTAATCAATTTACCGATGCTCATTCAATGGCGAGCTAAAGGTGTATCAGTGGATTGGCTATTTTCTCTATTTACTAAGCAAGAAAGGGAAAAATTGAGAGCAAACTAACGAAATGACTGGTGGGTTTGCTTGTCTATAGCTATGATATGTAATCTATTTTAATAGAAATTGATACAATATATCAAATCAATAAATTTTATCCTATTTTGTATCAATTTATTCATGAATACTGTCTTAGATTAAGTGGCAAAGTTCTTAAAAGCAAACAGAAAAAGGAGATTATGCGTCAGTGAACGGAATATTTCTTGCCAATGTTAATGCCAAATTTAAAATTGTAACTGTAGCACCTTCAATTTTCTTGCTGCACAAACAAGGGGCATATAACAATAGTGTTAAGAACTTGATAAAAATTGATTAACATTTATAAAATTCGTAGTGCATTAAAAATGCAAATTGAAGTGATAAAGCAAATGAAAAGCCATCGTGTCTTTAAATAATATCATTATGGTAGGTTTAAAAACAATCATGTTCATAAACTTCGCTGAAACAAGATACTTATAAGAGAATATTACAGCCATGCTTAGCAGTTAAGATTGATCATTTATCATAAGCTTATATGCTAACTACGATAATTCAAACGTGAATAAGGTGGATATTATCTGTTCTATTGATTGATTTCACAACAGTAACTACTATTGAATAATTGTATTCATCATTCATCTTAAGTTTTAGCTTTCATAACTAAAATATAGATTAGTTGTTAATTACTTGTCATAGTCATTGCTAACTCGACAGCAACTACTATTTCGTGCTTGAATTAGTCACATCCGAGCGATTAATTTGCGACAATTTTACCGAGGTACTTCTACTACCAGTAGTACTTCGACGACTTCTTCTGCTAAAGGTTTTTTGTAAAACCTCAATATTGGTGATCGTATATAGAAATGGATTCACGGCAGAGTTGATTGGCAGTGTCAATATGCCGATAAATTGTAAAGCTATAAGATCAACCCTACCGGTCTGAATAAATCCTGATAGGTTAATATAATAATACGGCAACCAACAAATTAAATCGGATAACAATATCAATGATAATCGTATCGCAAGAACTTTGTTGTCATTTGTAGATGATTTTCTTATTCCTTTGCTACTTTTTCGTACTGCTATGAAAATGCATGCATAAAGAACAATCATGATAATCCAGGCTATCACTGTTATGAGTAAATAGGAAATCATCCAGATCATGTAATATAAATTTTGATAGTTATTTGGCATACACATGCTATTATAGGTGTATAATCGTAAATAACCCGGTTGATCAATGCTGAAAATTGTCGGTACTGCAGAGAATGCAATACCTAAACTCCACATAAAGCCCATGACCGTCATTGCCTTTTGCAAGGTTAATTTCCTGGTGGAAAATGGGTAAACAATGCATATATATCGATCCACACTGATGACAATCATGATTAAAACTGATGTTAAACTAGACATAGCCACAAGGCCACAAGCAATATAACATACTGGATGAGATAGCCATGATTCGGAATCGGTACCGTACGTAATCGTTGAGTACATAATGTCAGCAATTGCAATGATTAACAGATATAATCCCATCAGTAAGTCGGATATGGCTAGATTATTGATTAAACAGATTGGAACTGACTTCTTTTTGCCCTGATTTGTTGCATAATTCTGCAAGAGAACAACGATGTTGCCAATCAAAGCTAAACTACCCACAATCCAAATAAAAGCCTGCAGCGAAAAGTGGGCTAATAAGCGTTGGCATGACGATAATATTTCCGAATTCATGCTTGGAGTGCATGTTTTTACTTTTGCAGGCACCATGCAGCATAAATATTCTCGTCTGCTTAGGCTGTCGGTTTATATAATGAAATGGCAGTAATATAGATTAAATTAAAACACGATCAACTTAAATGGTCTTTACCAAATCCAAATATTAGATATAATATGTAAAACTTAGATAATCTAAGTGGTACAAATTGCAACGATACAATAGAAAGATGTAGGAATGATATCACACTATTGATATTATTTAAAGCTTTATTCAGCTAAAAAAATCGGAAATGATGATAATAAATCGATCTGCTATACATACATTGTATTGAGATTAGGCGGCCCATAAAATGATTGGCTATTAATATAAGCTAAATAATTATCCTGCATCAACCTAAAGAAACGACATTACCATATAATTTTTAGAAGGTATAGGGTTAAATTTCACTATTCGCAAACTCGATACTGTTTTATTTCTTTAATAAATCGAAATAAAACTATAATTTTACCAAAGTAGAGATTTAAATGTCCGCAAAATTTCTTAAACATTATAAATAGAAACTACTGAATTATTAGAATGGGTTACAGATTTTGAAAAAGGATGCGGTACTTACAACGTTTCTAACTTGACCAATCCCTTAAAACATCGTTCACTGATCGATTTAATTCGATTCTTTCTAAGATCACTGCAGTAACAGAATAATTATCGCAGAATAATTATCACCACAGGTATTCTAATAGAAAATATTTATGACTTATTGAAATTTATTAAATTTATATATCGAATAATCACTCAACTGTATTTATTAGTGAGTCATTGCTATCAAATAACTATGACACTCTGTCTCTTTATTCTATTCTAATAACGAGGCAAGTTCTATGGATTGCTAGTCTATCATTAATGTCTCTCTTTGTGAAGAAATTGTTTTTCTAGTTAGTTTATTGTAACTTTCGATGACTACGTTCGCGAATGAATGAATCTAAAAAATTAAAATTGCCTTTATCTAGAGCAATGAATCAATTGGGAAATAGGTCTTACAGCTTTTTAAGGGCTGAAAAATAGGTTCCAAGATTTTGATCGCATATGCCAGAAATCTTATTACTGGAAGCGTTTCTAGAGTTCAAAGTTGAATTATAAATAGATTAATAGCTGCTGAATGGTTATAAATGTAGCCCAGAACTATTTTACTTGGAAGAGATTTAGCATTAGACAATGAGTTTGGAATACACGTAAATACTTAAGCTGGATTTAGCTGTTAGAGCGATGGCATATCGGCATGAACAGAGGATTTTAAATAGTAATTTATAAGGTAGAGATCTATTAGTTACATCCATTAACATTTAAGAAAGTTCACTTCAGTCACAATTTGAAGCTTTGAGATTCTCTATCGATTATGTTTTATAATTTTACAGAAATAAAATTCTAGTTCTAATGAGCACAAGAACTATTACTGACATATATACAGCTTGCTTTATCTAATGAATTTATTTCTACATGCTCACAGCTATAGTAAAAATCAATAAGCTGTTAAATGTGCTTCTTGATAATCAAAAAACCTTAACTTTTATAATTTAATCCAGTAAAATATCTGTAAATGGCTTAGAAAAGTACGATAAAATCATAAAATCGATCATTACAAGATCGATCGGAGACTAAATCCAATTCTTGATCATCAGAATAGGTCTAATTTTAATAACGAATTATGACAAAATCATCCGTGGATACTTACAAAAACGAGATGTAATCGAATTGAGCCTTATTAAGAAAGGTAAAATTTTGCAATTTGTTTCCGGCAATCTCCCTATAAAACTCATTATCGTTGATCAATATTATAATAGCATGTAGACTACTATTTTTTCGACAGATACCGTACAGCAACTAGCATAGGAATATTTATGTTTACTGGATAAATGAAAGATTAATTCATAAATACCATAACTAGCATCAATTTTTACTACTACATACAGATGCGTTACAGTTTGACCAGAAGTTTTGGCAATGTCGGAGAAATCAAGATCTTCCAAGTTATTGTTGTTCATGACGCTATCAAAATAATTATAACGAATGCGATGATAAGTTCTATGCTAATGTTTCTAATTTTAACTTTACGGCATTGCAATTAGTCCACGAATTTGGTTTAAAATATGTCTGTAATGTAAGTACTATCATCCTATGTATATATATATAACAATATGATCAGGTATCATTTTAGCTGCAGCTAAGCCTTTCCATAGTTAAAATAGAAATAGTACACATATTGAAATCATGAATAACATGTTTTAATTACTGCACATGATGATTTTTAGTGTCGTAATATGAATTAAACAACTGGATTTTAATAATATTGCTAGAAGACTTTGTAACTTCTTATAACTTACACAGTGTTTAAGAATGCAAAGCGCCGGAAATTATTCCTAGGAATGGTGGTAATATTTAAGTTGCCTATATTTCTGAAAATTAAATGTAATGAAAGACATAGAGTTAGTAATTTATGCTAGTTATCGCAGTGCTATTTATGAACGACATTAGAATAATTATAAGCAACATTGATCTTGAATATGGTGATAATGATAGTGATAGTTTGACGTTCTGTTATAGAAGAAAGCATATTGATAGTTCGTAAACGTACAAATTGGTTAAGTATTGCTGTACGCTGCTTCCTATCATTTTCATAGCATTTGATATTGTTGCTGGATTGTCACTTATATCTCTGTAATAAGCAGTATTATCCTTTAGTTTTTACGTTCTAAATAATCCTTTACGTTTGCTTTTTCGAAGAAAATTTTTAGCTTCATTTCATCTATGACGAATAAACAGTCAAGGTTGACTATAAACAGGCTTTAGAATCAAAAACGTTGTGGGGTCTTGACATGGTTTATTATTGAAATGGTATTCCTATGGCTGTATTGGGTCAAGCATTATATTTTGTTCTTGTAATTAATAATAATAAAGACTGATTTATCTTTAATCCATTTAATTTCTTCTACAACCTAGATCTTTATGATTTAGATTATAATTCTAGAATATTAAATTACTATTATGGCGATAGATAGCATTATGAATGAGGTATAAAGTAAGTATAAAGCTCATATAATCAATACTTAGATAGCCTTAACTTCTGCTATGCTTCATAGTCTAATAATATCACCGGAATAAGCAAAGATTAATTTATGAGTAGTAGACTTTAAAGGTTCCGTTAATCAACATTTGAATAGCCTAAACTACCGTAATGCTTTATATTCTAATAAATCACCAGTAGCAGTAGAAATTAATTTATAAATAGTAGACTTTTTACTTCATATGATCAAAATTTGGATAGTTTAAATCACCGCTATGCCTCTGAGCATAATTAGATCACTAGAATGAGCAGAAATTAATTTATAAGTAGCAGATTATTTGAGATTCCAGATACCAATAAACTAATAATCTGTGTTTTGATGAATTTAAAATGATTGCTATGTCCTTTTAATGTAGGTATTGTTGTTGCTATATTAAGTATAGGCTTATATATGGATTTAATTAATTAATATATATATAATTAATTATATTTATTAATATGAGTCGATGAAGGAAGGTAGCGGGAGCACATGCTTAACCTGAAATTCTTTTTCTAAATTATAAAATATGACGTTTCCAATATTAAATGATACGTAACTTTTTAGCTGGCCACCTACATTATCGATATGATACGGTAAAAACGTACTGAAATGGGAAACTGGCTGTTACATACAGTATAGTATTTAACAGTAACAAGTAACATTGGCATTAGACCATCTGAATATTGCTCGATATATCCGAGTAACTTTGCCCGTTTTGATGTAAGAGCATATACAAATTATGTTATTATGAAGCCAAAAATTGAGATAATTTTGATCTACTTTGGATAACAACTATACTCTCTTGGCATTGACAAATTTATAATTATCTGGATTAGTATTTTCAGGATGCATATGTTAATCGAACTTACAAAACCGCCAAGAAAAAATTGTTGATTTGCTTTGGTAATCCAGTAATGTTATTTCCTGCTAATTTTCTACAAATAAGAGTAATCATTTGAATAGAAAACTATAAAATAATACCAAAGATGAATGTTTCAATGTGATATAGAATTAGTCGATTTCAGATTGTGTTCTATTTCTTAAAAATTCTATTTTTAGGTGCGAACATACAGAGAATAAATATTCGTAACTTTGCTAATTACTTCCTCATGGATACTGATACCATTGCTTACTAGATTGTTATGATTCAGATTCCTAATATTAAATTACAAGAACAGTTATGTTATAGAAGTAAATGCTTGAGTTGAAGTAAAAGAATCAATAGAAATATTTGATATGATGCCACAAATTATCTTTTAAGGATAATTAGGCCCAAGTTACTTACAGATCAATGGCAATATTTAAGAAATTACGGCAGTTTGAATTAATCTTGGAAATGTTGTTTCTATTCAGCTGTCTATTAATACATCAACATAATAACAGCAGATATGATTTGTAATAAATAGCTAAAACTTAAATTTTCATCTATGAACATATTTATACTATTGTTAAATAATCTACAAGAAATTAAAAGAAGTCATAGCTGTACTAACAAGTCATAAATTCTGAATGGGAATTCTGAACAGGAGAGCTCCCTGATATTATTCATCCCCAGGTTTCTTAATTGAAATATCAAAATTTGTAGTCATTTGTTTGAATATAAAATTTTGTAATGCATTCTATTAGTTCTGAGGATTCACTTTTCTTCATTCTGAGTGATCAAAGAATATAGATAACATTTCTTACTTACAGCTTATCTAGCATTAAAGTTTTGGCCATTTTAATTTTTTCTATCTTGTTTCCATAAAGATCCCTAGTAATAAAATCGTAGTGACGCACTGTAGTGTATTTAGAATATACTGTAACTATATTCTACCCTTAAATATAGACATGTTGTATTGCTCTTATATTTAGACAGATCTACAGTCCACTTACTCTACATTCATATATAGACTACTGTATTCAGTTATTACGGTACTCGCTGTTTTCTACAATCATCTGCTATTTTGTAACCTGTTATGGTATATGTTTGTCACGGTACGAACTACCGTGAAGAAATAGCTATCTAAATTAGGTTAATATAATATAGTGATATTATATTACAACTAGTTACTTACAATAGGAATTACTCTAATTATAAATGTGTTACAGTAAATTTATTGCTGTGCTGTAATGTGTACTGAAATGATTCTGTGAATGGACATATTGTAGTCTGACTGTGAAAAACTAGTTAGTAGATGTTCTCACCCAAGTATTTTTATAAGATGACTTGTGAATGTTAGCTGCTGTAGAAGGGTATATAAACCCGTCAGATAGTTGAATAAAGCAGTTCTCAATTGTATAGTTGTTTTAATGTAGAATCAAAGGCGTCTAAATTCTTGTAAGTAGGGATACTGAATCCCGGAGACTAGTAATTTAGAGATTTGTTTTACGTTATCCTTGTCACGAAGCTGGTTTGTGACAATGTTGTATCTAATTCCACAATCCTATTCTCTGCATGTGCTCTATCTTTAAAACTATAAATACCGGCGATTTCTACCTCAGAGTTCGTTAGCCTCTCAGTTAGTCTTCTAGTTAGTCTCTCACAGTCTAATATTTCTACTCTTTACTCACGACAGCTTGCACGCTGATCTACCGTAACTACCTCACTGTACTTCACATTACTAACCTACAATAAAGCATAACTTTCATAAACCCTTTGTTGTAATAATTGTAAATGGCGACTAAATCTCAATCCTCTGAGATATCGAACCCTCCATCACACGCACTGGCTTAGCAACTGCTCAACGTCTCATATCGTTTATATTACAAAATCATACATTTGGAACGATTGAAATTTTATATACCGATGCTTTTAATATTATCCAGTTATTACAAGTACAAGCGTGTTATATTAGGAAGAATAAATTTGGATTGTGATTGAAAAGAGTTTCCTGTTGAGCGTGGTAGCACTACGATTACAATACTCACAGTACTAGAAGAGTCTTTATATTGCCGAAAGCAAATTCTCCAAGAGACGAAATTTTGTTATTGCGTAAATATCTAAATGTTTAAGGTAGATATAACGTGTTAATTCGCGATTAGAAAGAAATCATAGAGTACGTTAAATTTTAAACTGCCTGAATCAGGTATACAACTTATATTTGTTCTTTCATATTCCACTATATAAAAATCAATATGTTTGGCTAAAATTAACTTACAAGTGAGTAAAAGATGGCATTGAAATCTTAAATAATTCACTTGCGCTTTGTAGATAATTGTTATTCAGATTCCTTGATGAATTTGATCAATATAATTATTACTAATCAGTAATATTAATGCAATCGTCCTTAATATAAATTAATTCCCCTTTCTATACATTAGTTTTCTAACAATAGTTTCTCATATACTATGACCGATTAGCAGAATAAGTCTGTCCACTCAGTATACAATCGTTAAGTATTAAATTATGAACTTAAACGTTCAATTATAGTCATTTATTTTGTATCTGAGATTTTTTGGGTAGCCAATTCGTAAATTTTGGCATCTATCGTATTTTTTGTCATTCCCATCTTAGAGTAATGCATTAATATCTCACAGTGATCTTAGTGTTGGTATTTGATCGAAGCCACCTTTAATTTCTGAAATGAAATTATATTCTAGAGATCTAAAAAATTGAGGAATAAAAAGTTTGGATTAAAGTAAATCCAGAAATGGGCTACTATTACCATACTTCATCTAGTTGCCTCAACCAATTGCTAAATGTAACTAAACACTTAATTTTTCCATCTTACAAGACGGTCAGTTTTGTCTTAGCAAAATAGGTATCGGTTAGTTTTGTTATCCTGTTATGGGCCAAGTATCTATACGAAGAATATAGATAGTTATCATGCTAATATGGCATTGTATTTAAAGCTGGCTTCCATTGCTGATTGATACTATATATGATACACTGTAGTTGAGTATTAAAATATTTGAGCAATTCAGTAAGGACTATCGCATAATATTCATTTAACAGAGTA